TGGACCCTAACCAAGGCAAACATGAATAAACTAGCCAAAACAGAAAGAACAATGGAAAGAGCAATGTTAGGTATACAACTAAATAAACAAATAAACATAGGAACGACTGGGTAAGATCAAAAACAAAAGTCGAGGATGTAACAACAAAAATTGACAAACTTAAATGGAGCTTCCCAGGCCACACTGCTAGACAAAAAGACCAACATTGGAATACTACAATACAACATTGGAGAGCTTACGAAAGTAAACAACCAAGAGGAAGACCACAGATGAGATGGGTTGATGACATTAAAAGAAAAGCCGGAACGAATTGAAAATATGTTGCTCAGGATAGAGACAGATGGAAGGAGTTGGGAGAGGCTAATAGACCAAAAACAAAACAAAAGTATAAAAATGTATAGGCCACAGACGATAAGGTATATAATAAGTTACTGAGAATATTTGTAAAGTCCATTCACTCAGCTTGGAATATTTTGTCAGATTCATTGTCAGAAACATATAATACAAAAATTTCTACCTTTCAGTATCAATAGTTCAAATAAACTTACTGTTCCTGAATCCTTTTGTTGAAATAAGAATACTTATGTAGTGTACTAATACATAAATGATAAAATTTCAAAAATAAACTTTTGTTTTAATTGATACAGTTTTATTTTGTTAATAAACTGCATATGAATATTTTTTGTTTAAATATTGACTATGAGCATATATGCTTGGTTGTATAGTAATTTCCAGTCACTACCAATTTTAACAAAAAAGAATTACCAAAATTACTAGACCTTTGGGACTGGGATAAGCGAACCCAGTATACCACACATAAACTTATAGACCTAATAGTAATATTAACCTATTATAACTAATGACTACAATGTATACACAGATCAAAAACAAGATTTCTCTTGTACAGCTTCAGCTGTTGATGTGATTTAAGATAACAGACCCATAAGAGATCTAAATGATGAATATTTTTCTTTTTCTATGAAAAGTCTACAATTCTTTAGTAATTATAATAAAAGAAACACTATTGAAGAAGAATCCAGCATAGTGAAATGTAAAACATCCCAAAATAGTCACTACATGCAGACTTTAATACAAGTGTAAAACACTTTCAGGAATAGAAGTCATCTCAACCATCAGTCTAAGAATCAAAACCATAAGGGACTAAAAAGAACTTTCCCATGTGTTCTAAGAAATCACTGAATGGTAATCACACTAAACCAAAATTGTTTCACATTGACTCATAAAACTATAATTTTTTTAGGTACTGTATATAATCACGAACAATAATAAGACAAAACCCTTACAAAACATAGCCATCAGCTAGGCCTCAACTAAGCCTAGGTGATAATCTTCCTAATTCATCCTTTATCCCCATTTATTTTTCACAAATCATTTATGAAATATTGTGTTCAATCTAGGAACTAAATGAAAATTGCCGAGCCTATGATATACTTAGTAAAATTAAGAAAATCAGAAACAATTTAAGGCATTAAACAATTTCATGCTCAATGATGACAAAAACTTTTAAGGATTTGCAGGTAAATGTATGCGCAATTACTAGTTCACTGTTTTTACAAAATATAAACAACAAATTAAAAAAAACAATTAGTACCTTATTGATAGCATACAAATTTAAAAGTTAATACCTACACTTTTTGTTTATATTCATCAAAATGTCGACAAATTCACTACTTGTCACAAATACTATCCTTTATTTTCTGTTTGGCGTCGCCATGTTGCCAATGCCTATAGTTGGAAACTGGCGAATAAATATAATCGAAAAATTGTCACAGTTATGAACTATTCGATATTTCAAGAATTAAAAATGAAAGAATTGATTCATCTTTGTATTTGTTAATTACTTTCGCAAAAATGTCATTCCTTGCTGTATGATAATTTATGTAAAACAAATACATGGATTTACTTTCTTGACCGATAAAAGTTCGAATAAAAATGTTTAGGATAATTCGTGGAAAAAAACATTCGATTACTAATATCATTCGATAGTTCCGATCGTCTCATACCAACCTACAACAGACTATTTTAAATGGAGAGAGGATTCGGGTCTATCAGTTTATCCTTTTTAGATTTAGACAGATCAATTAAGCATTTTAAAATATTATAAAATCTTTTTATATCTTCATACAGTTTCTTTAATTGAAATATATATTAATTTAGTTGTCATTTAATAGAAATGAATGAAAATTGTTATTGTAATTGGTAACACTGTCGAAGAACAATGCAGATTGCGTCGTTCGTATGCAACTGCAGATCCGGGATAAGTACATTTTTAATGCAACAGTTTACTTTTCCTTGTGAATTTGAATATTTGATTTTATAATATTTAAAAATATGAATTGCCGTTTTTAATTAATCACTTTATTTGCGTATTTTCTTGTACTAAGAGGTGTTCGTTTTTTAACTATTTAATTAAACACTTTATTTAGTTAAACTACATTAAAGATTCAGTATTGTAATGGGAATTAAAACACGCGGTTTAAATTATTTAAACAGATAATGTTTAAATGTTTATAAACTTATATAAAAACTACGTAAAACTGTCCGTGACCAAAACACAGATTCAATACCAATACGTTGCAGAGATCGTCACCTGCTACAGAGATAGTAGTTTTTGTGGATAGGTGGCGCTGGGGTTTTCATTACGGACAGAAAAACAGGCAGAATAAGCAAATTATAAATATACACACTGATTGTTTCCAAAACGGGTTAGAGAAGGCCATAGCTATGGTTTTAAAAACCATCTACTGAAAAGGTGTGTTGTAGTACATTTTAAGTATATAAATAGGTTTATAGCACTTCCTTGCAATATTCTAAAAAGTATATTCTTGCCATATACTGAAAATATGTGAGAGATGAGAGTTGTGGGTTATGATCTACGTAAAAATCATTCGTCAGTGGTACCGAGGTGAAATAAGTGTCCGTTGTGATGTTCCTTATAGTTTTTTTTTAATTTGCTCCCAATTTCGATGTATGATTGATTCATTAGTGAAAAGATTAATTGAATATGACGTTTTTGCAAATTACAACTGGTATCATATTGGCTCGAAAAAGGAGCCCGGGTTTTGTGTTAATAGCTTAGATGTAACGTGCGGCGACCTCGAATATCTTTTTTAAGATTCGGGCACCGACATTTTCAATAACCGTTGATTCAGTTAAGAGTCAGCTAGAGTAGATTCTCAGATTCCCCGGTGTGAAGGCGGTGTCGCCTCAATAGAATTTGAATTACGGTTTGGAATATCCGCTATGTATAAGGTCAACTTTTAAAGAGCAGCTTTCCATTGCCACCAATATCACTCAATTTCATTTCTTCTTCGTTGTAGCAAAAACTAACCCATATCTATAATGAGCGAACTACTACGTCCTAAAGCATAAACGTGTTATACAGGAATAATTCTCAGACTAATGACAAGAAATGATCGAATGAAGATAGAACTAAAGTCATTGTTTATGGCAGCGGCTAGGTCTCATTCTAATATAACGACCACCCTATTCTCCGTTAACACTATCGTGCCGAGGTGAGCATGCGCATGCGAAAAAGCGGATCTCATGCGATGCTTGAAGGAGTGTTGACGAACCGGAGGGATTATAGCTTTATACGCACTGCCACGCTGGACTGAAGAAGCGACCCAACTCGTGGGAAGAAAAGTGGACACACTTAATAAAAAAGAAAATAAATATAAGGGAAGGGGAGTCTATGCGGAAGAGAATAATCAGAAAAAATGATGCAGAGAGAAGAATGAAGTGGAGGAGAATGGCAGTCGAAAAGAAATGGTAGATAGTAATGATGATAGTGAGTGGACGAATAATATTAACAGAAGAAAGAAATGAGTGGACGGCAATATTAACAGAAAAAGAAAAGGAAATTCGGAAAGGAATGTCAAAATGAAGAGATACATCGACGAGTTAGTGAACCTAATAAATGCGGATGCAAATACGAAGAATAAGATCAAACAGGGAGCCGCAAAGATACGATAGATTTGGTACGAAATGGAAAGAAACATTAGAGAGTTAATGTGTAGTGCTATCGAGAATATTTGTACTCCTGAACCCTTGAGGTGCTTTAAAAAGGTCACTATATTATTATCGACTTTATATACTTTCAATATATCTACAAGCTATTCATTCGGTACTGAATCAAAGGTCTTCTTGTAGTCAATGAAGGCAGTAAAAAGGTTCCTTTTTTGGTATACGCCTGGCAACAAATAAAGTTGTTCTTTGCAGCCCATGAAACAGCGCATCCTTTCTGTTAAGGCTATATGATATTGTTTAGAGAACAGTGTTGGTAGATACGCTCGGCTACACAGGATGTGATTAATTTGTACAAAGTTGGAAGGCAAGTACTTGGACGGTACTTGGCTGGGTCTTAGGTGTTATTTCGATCCTTCGGTATTAGATAAGTGGTTCCATGAGTAAGAAATAGTGGTATCTTCTGCGGATTAGAAATAACATGATTAATTCATACTGATAAAAGCTCATGAACAGTCCAAAACTTTTTTTAGCTAGAATCTTTGAACTCCGTCTGGTACAGATTTCCAGTTATGAAGCTCTGTAATAATTTTCGAGACTTCCTCATTGGTGAAAGGTTCATTATTGTGGTGTTCACAGTTGATCATGCATATTGTAATAGAAGCGCAAATGTTTTCGTTTATAGACACAGTCCAATACATGCCTCGGTTGTCCCGCTCGAGTGAGCGCAGCACCTTCAGCGAGTGGAGCTCCTGTTGTTGTTTGGCTCACTTCTGGTTCTTCTTGTTGGGCTGTAGCTCATTCTATGATCAGCTATTATTATTATTATTGAGAATGCACTGACTACTCTTAAAACCTCTTAAAAGAGGTTAGATGAATTTGAATTAAAAATAAAAGAATGGAGAATTGAAAAAATATTTAATACGAAATAATAAAACGAGTAACATTGTAAAAAGTTCAGACTTAACAAAAAAGTACGATATATAAATGCTAATAATTAAAAAGTGATTATTCTAAAAATATACCCTTTTCTTCAACAACTGTTTAGTTTCTATTCGTTTAACCCTTGAAGAATTATATAACATTTGATTTCTAAAATCTTTTGGATGAATTTTTTGTTTCTTGAATTCGTCTGTTTCTTTCTTTGATACCTCGCTTGTCGATGGTTTTGCATCAACACCGAGCTCTACGATCCACGCATTATCTAAATTATCTCTTCTTGAAGTAGACGGTTTTATCATCCTCCTAGGTCTGTTCTTAACATCTGTAAGAAGTTGATGCAGTAATCCAAACGATAATCCATCTAGGTCTATATCTCTACCAGTATTCAGTGATGATTTTTTATGCGATTCTGCTTTTTGTCTTGACTTTTTAGATTTCTTCTTTTTGTGTTTCTTAACCTCTTTCTCAACATCATCCATGCTTTTACTTAAACGCCTTTTAAGTGATTTTTCTGACATTGAAGGAGCATCTTCAGTCATACTAAGACTAAGTCTTGGTCTTGTTGGAACATTTTTAACTGATTCTGGAAGAAAAACTTCTTCGACCAATTTTGGTGTCTTTGTAGGTACAGTTTCCTCTTCAGAAATACTCCTTCTTTGAAAATCTTTTGACTTTCTTTTCTTTGACCTTCTCTTCTTTCCTTCTGGAGAGGCTTTACTTGCATATTCTAGTGAAAGGTTCATAGATAAATCACCTGTTTGAGGAATTGTTGTACAGAACGTGCCTACAAGATGGTTAATTCGTTCGCTTAATGATGTGTCCTTAATTTCTTTGACATCTATATTTTCTATTATTCGGATAGAAGTTTTCGGTTTACCGTTTTCTTGAGTGGTTTCTGCCTTCGGCGATGCTTGATCTGACTCTTCACTATTTGGATTAACAGATCCTTCCTGATCAGATACTAAATCAACAACTTCTTCACTCTCTGATGAATCATCCACTTTAATAATTCTGGATTTTCTCTTTTTCGCCTCAGGTTTGATTTTCCTTTTAATTTTTATAACATCTTCATCCCTGTCATCTACGTTTATAATTCGTGAATGTTTCTGGTTCTGTTCATTCTCCAAATCATACTCATCACCTGGTAGTAATTCCGTATTACCTTCATCGCAAATAAAAGAAGAGTCATCATCATAGTCCTCATCTTCTGATCTTTCGGAATCAGTATTGATCGGTTCTCCTTCATCTGCAAATAATTATAATATAATTTAATGAGGCAAATATTAAATAAAATATATACAGAGGAGATAAAAATGAAATAATACTATTACTACAAAATCTTGAAAGCTTTGAGATGTGGTGCTACCGCTGTATACTAAAAATAAGTTGGGTGGATAAAATTACAAATGAAGAGGTAATACGCAGAATAAATAACGATCCAGAAGTTATATGAATATAAAAAAAGAAAACTTGAATACTTAGGCCACCTGATGAGAGGACAAAAGTACACATTCCTACAAAATATAATGCAAAGAAAAATCCAAGGACGCAGAAATTCAGGCCGTAGAAGAATGTCCTGGATGACAAATTTAAGAGACTGGTTTGGCTGTACCACTAACAATTATTCAAACAGCAGTTAATAAACTATAATCGCCATAATGATATCCAATCTCCGATAGGAGAGGCACTCAAAGAAGAAGAAGACAAATGGGTATTATCAGATACATTAATTATCCAGAGAGAGTCATACAAAAGCTCATAAAATGGCAGAATCGTAAAAAACAAAGGGAAGGTTAAGAACAATGTTAAGGTATATGGACAATTTCAGATAAAGTCCTTTAGAGATCCAAATACATACCATAATGTAAGTATAGGACAATTACGTGAAAATGTAAGACATTGTTTTGTAGAGTATGCAAAATTTGTATTAATCGCTACCGAATATCTGGTAAGGAATACCTTGTGTAAGCATGCGCACTTGGTAAGAATGTAAGAGGAACACATAGGTACTAACTCTGTTTTAGATGATGTTGCAAGCTGTTTGGGAGAAACTTCAATTATGAAAGCAAGGCATCAGGAGGAAATTAAAAAGTTTGTCAGAGGAAAATAGAACAGACAAATTTGATCCAGTGAAAATCTAAACGAAGTCCTAAGAGAAAACTTATAAATATCATGAACCAATTAGACGACTTTTGGTAAACGGAAGTTTTACCAAATTGGAACTGAGTTAACATTAAATTTGACTATACTCGTTTTCATCGTTCTTGGCGTGTGCCTGAAATAAGCTACTACGAAATTTTTAATATTCGTCTCTGATACACAGATGCGTAATTCAATTGTGCGAGTCACGTTCGTCATGGTAAAGTGCGATGAGAAGGGAATGAAGAGACCACTCACGTCTCCCAGTATTGTAGCAATAACACCGATTTCTTGAATGAGCTGGCTAATAGGTTTATAATTGTAGCAATTACCATTGATATTTTATGTTGTTTTAGTCGATTTTAGTCAGTCATTGTTGGAATTTGTTCCGAACAGTTTTACTTATTATTTTTTGTTGTGAATAACTAATTGTTCTATTTAATAAAAAAATGCCGGGAAAAACGATAACAGGAGAAATGCGACAATGTGTAGTTCATTTATTGAGTATTTTAAAAGAAAAAGAAAACAACGGACCTTTGCTTTCGTTATCATCGGTACATGAACGAGTAGCGGACGCTTTGAAAATCAGTCTTCGCACAGTGACAAGAATAAAGAGTGAATACAAGACAGGGGCAGCTCTTACTACACCAGGAGAGTCACGTAATGTACAAAAAAAAAGACTAATGATGTCAGCGATACTATAAAAGGAGAGATTAGAAATGTACTGTATGGCATGAAAGCAAAAGGAGAGCACGTTACAATTAAAGTTCTAAATACACAATTAAGAAACAATCATCTCTATGACGGTTCTGATACAAGTTTGTGGCGTCTTATGAAAAATTGTGGGTTTTCATACAAACTAGAAAATAGTAGACGAGTGCTATGTGAGAAACCATGTATTGTCTCCAAACGACTGTATTTTTTGAGACATTATATGAGAAATTTTTTAAGTCCAAGCCCACTTCAGTTCGTTTTTTTTAGATGAAACATGGATATTCCTAAAAGGGGCATATAAACGTACTTGCAAGATCACTGTGTGAAAAGCATCAGAAAAGGACACGAAAATACAGGTAAACGCTTTGTTGTTTTACATGCCGGAAGTAGGCAAGGATTTGTTAAAGATGCTGGATTACTGTTTTCTACGAAATCGAAGAGTGCAGACTATCATGATTCTATGGATAAAGAGTCTTTTAAAAAGTGGGTCTCCGAAAAGCCGATACCAATGTTGGAGGAACCATCTCTAATTATTATGGATAATGCCTCATACCATAGCTCTTTAATAGAAAAGTTACCGAATGCCAGTTGAAAAAAATCGGACTTACAAGAATGGTTACGAGCGAAAAAAATAATTTTTGACGACGATTCGGGCAAGACAGAGCTATTGAGTCTTTGTCGCCAGAATAAACCACAAAATACCAGGTACGTTATAGACGAGCTACTCCAAGAACATGGGCATCAGTTTGAGATTGCCTCCATATCACTGTCAATATAATCCGATTGAGTTGGTCTGGGGCATTTCTAAACAATATCGATCGTCATATTGGAGAATATGGACGTGGAGATGAAACAGTAAAAAAAGTTTGGGGCGATGCATTAGCTGAGGCAACACCTGCAGTGTGGGCGAGTTGTGTTAACCATACTGAAAAATTAATTCAGGACGACTGGGCAAAAATGGTCACATATGATGAAAATGAAAGTAGGATTATCATCGATTTGGCGGAAGATTCCAATGATGAAGACAGTTCCAGTGAAGGGAATGGACAATCGCCGTCGCCAATTCGCCGTCGCCGATTCACCGTCGCCCATTCGCCGTAGGGACAATTCCACCGGCAGCCGATTCGCCGTGGCCGATTCGCCGTCAGAAATTTAATTTTGAGCATGTTTATTAATAACATTTGGTTATAAAAATAAGATTTTAGGCAATGCATTATTTTATGGTAAGTACCTGTTTATTGAGTTGGTGTTTTATTTTTATTAGGAATAAAATATTTTACAAGAACTGGCGGACCAAAGAATTTTACATTTAGTACAAAATTATAATAGAGAAAATATTTTAGAATATCTCAAAGGCTTAGCCCATAACTACGAAATGTAGAAATTATTTTTTAATTAAACAAAACATAAACCAATGGATTACTTGTTTCATTTACTTAGCAAAATATTTAATTAAACATAAAATTATATGAATTAAGTTTTTCGTTAAACACCAACCCTCAATAAATGGGTTACTTACTAAAAAAAAAAAAATATTGCCCAATTTTTTTTAATTCTTGTTAAACATTCTTTATTCCAACAATAATTTAAACAAAAAATTTAATCCTTGTATCATTATCACTGGTTATTAATGGTTATTAAATAAACAACAACTATTTTAACCCACATTACAAGATCAACCACCCTAATTGTTTTCTAGTTCTTGTTAAATATTTTATTCCTAATAAAAATTTAAAACATCAACACACCATTAAATGGTACTTACTATAAAATAATTTATTGCCTAAAATCTTCTATTTATAACCAAGTGTTTAATAATAAACATTCTAAAAATTAAAATTCTGACGGCGAATCGGCGACGGCGAATCTGCTAACGGTGAATTGTCCCTACGGTGAATGGGCGACGGTGAATCGGCGACGGCGAATTGGCGACGGCGAATTGTCCTAGACCCCCAGTGAAGACGCTGACTGATTAGCGAATTAATCAAAATCAGTACGTTGTAACAGTTCAGAATTCGCTACAGTGCTTAAAACTTAAAAAATCTGTATCATTTTTTAATTAAAGTGTCCTGTCCTATTGTACTGCAAGCTAGAAAAATACTTCTTCGCAATTTATACGTATATTCTGTTATTACAAATTTAATGAAAAATAATTTATAATTTTCTTCTGTAACTATTATTTCGTTTGAAATGATACATTTTGCTCCGCCACTGAAGGAGGTAAACGAATCGAGCTAGGCAAGGAAAGACAGATGAAACAACTTATTGCAAGTGTTTTTACACGCACACGCCAAGAACGATGAAAACGCTTATAACAACTTGTGTAGCTCACGTGTATTATTTGTTTTGTATGTGTATTGAATTTGAATTATAGTTTTATGGCTTAATTACAAGAAAGTTAATCAATTTAACATTATTATAGATTTTACTTGGTTAGAAAATGAATCTGTGTAAACAAAAACGTTTTTTTGTTTCATTTTTGACATTTTAAAAGAAATCATATCTGATGTCAGGACAATAATCTTCCAATCAACATGAACGTCCGCATATTGCACCAAAAATCGGAAAAAGTACGAATTAGAAAGAAATAATATACTAACGCACCTATAATAGCATTACTATCTTCTGAAGGAGTGTCTTCTTCTCCTTCTTCAGCCATATCATCAATAAAACTAATGCCGATATCCTTCTCATAATCTTCAACAGAAGAGTCGGAATCTTCATCAGAAGGGTCGGAATCTTCAGCTTGAAGAAATTTTTCCAGTTCAGCGTCCAATCTAGGATCTTCATACTGTTCTAAAAATTTCGAAGAATTTAGTTTCTTTCCTGAGTCGTTCTTTTTTGCAGCTTTAACAGGTTCTTTATGTCGTTTCTGATCTATTGGAGATTCATCTGAATTGCTAACGTGCTGCTTCTTTTTGTTTTTTAAGTCTTTAGGCTTTGTTTCTATATCTTCTGATTGAGAGGAGTCATTCACAGTTGTTGACACAACCCAATCGTCAAGTGAAAAGCGCTTATTAGTTTTAACATTGTTTTCCTTATTTGTTTTAGATATGACTGCTGGACTTGAGCTAATATTTTCTTTCGCTTCTGTTGTTTCCACAGCAAAAGTACCAGATTTTTTCTTTTTTCCTTTTTTAGGACTTACTGCTGCTAATATTTCGGATGATTTATCAATTTCTATATTTTCAAAATTGTTTTCGGGTGCATATTCTTGATCATTTGTTGCCTCTTCAGAAATTTTGACTGGGTCTACAGTAACAATTTCTGATTTTCTCTTTTTTCCTTTTTTAGGACTTACGGCTACTGAAATTTCGGACGATTTATTCGTTTTTTCATTTTCAATATTGTTTTTGGGTGTATGCTCTTGATTATTTATTTTTTCTTCGGAAATTTTTGCTGGATCTACAGTAACAATTTCGGATTTTCTCTTTTTTTCCCTTTTTAGGACTTACGGCTGCTAATATTTCAGATGATTTATCGGTTTCTGTATTTTCAAAATTGTTTTCGGATACATGTTCTTGATTATTTTTTGTATCCTCAGACGTTTTTACAGGGTCTATACTAACAATTTCTGATTTTCTCTTTTTTCCTTTTTTAGGACTTAAGACTGGTGAAATTCCGAATGATTGATCGGTTACTACACTTTCAAGATCATTTTTAAGTGTATTCTCTTGATTCTTTGTTTTATCTTCGGACATTTTTGCTTTGTCTACAGGAACAATTTCCGATTTTCCCTTTTTGGGACTTACGTCTGCTGAAATTTCTGATAATTTATCGGTTTCTATATTTCCAAGATTGTTTTCTGACGTCTCTTCTTGATTGTTTGTTTTCTCTTCGGAAATTTTTGCTGGATCTAGAGTAACAATTTCTGAATTTCTCTTTTTTCCCTTTTTAGGACTTACGGCTACTGAAATTTTAGATGATTGATCAGTTTCTATATCTTCTTTATGGGTTTCTATATTTTCAAGATTGTTTTCTGGTGTCTCTTCTTGATTATTTCTAACAATTTTTGAATTTCTCTTTTTTCCCTTTTTAGGACTTACGACTACTGAAATTTCAGATGATTGATCAGTTTCCATATCTTCTTTATGGGTTTCTATATTTTCAAGACTGTTTTCTGGTGTCTCTTCTTGATTATTTCCAACAATTTCTGAATTTCTCTTTTTTTCCTTTTTAGGACTTACTGCTACTGAAATTTCAGATGATTGATCAGTTTCTATATTTTCTTTATTGGTTTCTATATTTTCAAGATTGTTTTCAGGTGTCGCTTCTTCATTATTTGTTTTCTCTTTGGAATTTTTTTCTGAGTCTATAGTAACAATTTCTGAATTTCTCTTTTTTCCCTTTTTAGGACTTGCGGTTACTGATGTATTAGATAAATGAGTATTGTTTGATTTAAATTCTACTTTACTAGGATTTTCAATAGATTCTTCTTGCGTTTTCATTGCTTTTAATCGTTCTGACATTCTCTTTTTTGCCGGTAGTTCATTTGTCTCTTCAATTTCTAATCCAGGTAAACTGCTACTCGAGTTACTTTTAGAGCTTATAGTTTCCTATTTCCTGATTGTCTATAGTATCTGATTCAATTTCTTCAGCTTTATCTTGATTATTACTTAAATCTTGGCTACTTAATATTTTTTCGGTATCTGTGGTTGTTGTAGATACCTCATCCTTCTCATCATCTTGAACTATATCTTGAAAACTATTTTTCATGTCATCATATTTATCATTATCTTCTGTTATTTTATTATTTTCTTCTTTACAGTCATCATCTTCTATTGCTATTTGATCTTGTATGTTTTGCTGTTGATCTGCCCGTATGACATTCTGTTCTATACTAACTGAATCTTTGGATTTTTGTAAGCATTCTAATTTATCATCAACCGAAGAAGTTATTGATTCCTTTACTGAGTCTTCTGAGTTACTTGAAATTTGGGGACTTTCTGTTAGTTTTTCGTGATTGTCTTTGGTTGACTCTTCCAGCTGAACACCATCACTTGTACCGTCTTTTACAGATTCTTTATCCTCTTCTAATGTTACAACGTCAATTTCTTGTTCATCATCACGTTCAATTGTCTCAGAACTTTGTTTCTCATCCTGACTAACATTTAAAATCTCTTCTTTAACGGTCTTATCTCTAAGAGATGGAGATTGTGTAGGAATAACGACTGATGCTCCCTCTGTATCTGAAGGCACATCAAATTCATAATCTTCGGACATGTCCTTGGTCTCACTAAATCGATCATCTTCTTCCTCTTCTTCTTTCAACTCAATAGACCGACAATCATTGCTCTTGAGAGATCGATCTAGTTCATCGGTTTCGCTAAATCTGTCGTCTTCTTCTTCTATTTCTTCTGCAGCAGCTTCTTTTGATGCAATTTGTGATTCTTCTTTATTAACTTCGTTCTCGGTTATTTTTTCTCTATTTTCTGCATTCTTAGATTCAGCTTTTTTTAGGGGAGAACCCATTTTCAATCAACACCATTTCTTGTTACTTTCGTCGATGCTTGTCTTTGTCTAAGGACAATATTTCTTTTTCTTCTCCTACTTCTTTTGCATTTCCTTTACTTATATTTAATGGATTTTCTGAGTCTTTCTCGCTAGTTTCATCCTCTGAATCGATTTCGATCGTTTTAGAACCTTTTGACATTGTTTTGTCTTCAGAGTTTTCGATATAAGTATCAGACAGATTTAACGAAAAGGTATCGTCAATAGTTTTATCAACAGCTTTAGAATTTTCATTTGGCAAGATGCTGCTCTTTTCCATTTTAGAAACATCTAGGTTTAGGGTAGTATCAATGTCCATTGCTTCAACAAAACTATAATCAACATTTTTAGGTCTGAAGACATTTGAAACACGGTGTACAGATATGTTTTGAAGTCGTTCTAGTTTGGCACCTGCAGTTAATTTCTCCAATACATTCTGCTCAGCAGTGATTGGCAGTTTTGAATTTTTTTCTAGATTTAGATGAGCGTTTTCTTTGTCGCTACCGTCACTTGCCTTAGAATCGTTTAGGTCACCTTCACTCTCTGTTGTTTCGTATTTGCTTTTAGACAGATTAAATTGAAACGATCCGTCCGAACCATCGCTAATAAGAGACTTCGTTTCGGTTTTTTGAACAACTACTGTTTCTGATGTGAACACATCATCATCGCCACGATCTTGTTTCATCTGGATCTGTATTGATTTATCATTATGTATAACTTTAACTGATAAATCTTCTTCTAAATTGTCCTTGCATGTTAGATTGTTTTTTTCTGGAGTTGTAAGATCTATTTTTCTGTGAGAAGGAGAGTTTGTCAGTTCTGCATCACAACAGGTACACTTTTTATGTGGGGTATGCTCCCCAGATTTGCACTTTTCCAGTTTTTCTTGAATTCTAGGTGATTTTCTAAGTGTTACATTGTCTGGTGTTAGACGTCCTCCCCTAGATTCTTGTAATGTAGGGCTATTTTTAAGTTCACTTTTCTCCAATTTTCTCTTAGTTGGTGTTTCTTCATTTCTCGGTGAAGCTCTTGGCGTTAAACTTTTTCTTCCATCTTCATCAACAAAACTGGATTCACATATAACATAAAGCTCTTTAGTTTTGTCTTCCATTTTGATCTCACTACTTCCTGGGGCACTTTCATCTTTGTGTTTTGCAGTGTTTTGTGCTTCTTCTTTTTCATCTATAGGTTCTAAAGCAGCAGCCGTTTCAGACACTGAAAGCCTTCTTTTAGGTTTCATTGGAGTTTTTACTGGTTTAGGTACTGTGTCTTCTTCAGCGTCCACTGACGATCGACGACTTCTAGTAGTTCTCTTTGGTTCTGGTTCAGCAGCAGCTTTACTTTCTTCTACTAAATCTCTAGACATAGATCTCCTACTACGAGTAATTCTTGCAGGCACTTGTTCTTCATTCACATCATCTTGAGCTGAACTTCTTCTTCCCCTAATTTTTTTTACAGATGTCTCTTCTTCCTCTTCTTTTTCGTTTTGCACCGAGCTTCGTCTACTTCGAATAGGCTTCGTAACTTCTTCCTCAATCTCAGTTTGTACAGAACTCCTTCTTCCTCTTACAGGTTTTTTGGTTTCTTCCTCACGGGTCGCTGAGCTTCTACGCCCTCTAATAGGTTTCACGGTTTCTACGCTTTCAGTCTTGACAGAATTTTCACTGGAAGTAGACGATCTTCGAGACCTAGTTTTTGATGGCTCAATGCTTGGCTCTCCATTTTCTTTGGTTACTGAAGATCCTAAAATAAAAAGTAATTAAAATACCATACAATATGTATATTTAATAATAAAGACATAGTAGTTCTGATTCTTCTTAAATATTAATTACAAAAAAGTAAACATTAAGTCTAGGAAAAAGTCTGAAACTTCTCTATTTTACAATAATCACGTTGTTTGTGCAGTTCATACGAACTTGTGACAATGCACAACTCTCGTGCTAATAAAATACACTCACCGGCAAAATTAACGGAACACCTTAAAAATGGGACATGTTTGTGGGACTCGAATTTCCTAAACCTGTTGTCCGATTTTAGTGATTTTTTTAGTATGTTATAGGTATATTATTTAAGAATATCAATGAAATAATATTGTTGCTAGACAGGTCAATGTCATTTTATACCGGGTGTAACAATCATACTGTGTTTTTTCCTTAAAGTTCGAAACACCCTGTGGAATATTCTAGCATATATAAAATATTGAAATTAAAGCTCAATTATAGTCTCAGGCTTTCTTAACATTTTCTTTTTTGATTCATTTGCTTGTGTTGGATAATAAAAAAGTTAGGTACGTTAACAACTAGCCATGTTTTTTCATCAATAAATGCTCATTTTCTTCTTAGTTTCACCAGCATATTTAAAGAAACAACCATAAAATCTGAGTATTTTCTCTCTAGTCTATATACTGTTTAGATAATATCATAATGCGAATGTTGGTGAAGTATTTTGAATTTATATTACAATGGTAGTACAATATAAAACCTGTTTAAGAAGAAATAAAACACAAAGATGTCAGACTCAACAAAATACGGATTTTAAACGCATTAACTTCATTGTACAGTTTGAACTTAAATTGGTTTTTTATGCATTTTTTTGGCTTTAATAGCGTGTGTTTCCCCTACGAGCCCTCACAACTGCAGTTATTCGTCTTCTCATACTTCTGATACCGCTATCGATCAGTTGTTGGGCAGTCTATCCCATTCCTCAATCAAAGCAATTGTGACTTTCTCTCTGTTTTGAATAGCAGGAACCCATGCCCTAAGTTTTCTGCTTAGCATGTCCCACATATCCTCTATCGGGTTTAGGTCTGGGGAACAAGCTGACCAATTCATCGTTGTTATACCCACTTGTAATAAGAAATATCTTACACAGTCTGCGACGTGTGGGCTCGCATTATCCTGCATTAAAATAAAATTTTCGCCAATATATGGTGAAAAAGGTACCACATGGTCTTGGAGAATATCTCTGATATACTTATCTGCTGTTAATGCTCCATCATCAATCACCACTAACTCTGTTATTGCTCCCAAACATATACCGCCCCACACCATAATTGAACCTCCACCAAAAGGTACGGTCGTAGTAAAATTGAAAGGGGCATTTCGTTCTCCTTGGCGTTGATACAATCTTTCTCTACCGTCGATGTAATTTACACAGAAACGGCTCTCGTCCGTAAAGAGAATTTGACTCCAGTAGTTATCATTGCAATTTTGATGTACTCGACCAAATTGTAGTCGTGCTAAACGATGGTGTCTCTGGAGTCTGGGAGCTTTTATTGGCACATATGACTTGAGACCGGCTTTTTTAAGTCTCTTTCTTACTATGCGCTCAATTAAATACAAGTTTGTACTTGTTATGAACAGACAGAATGACTGTAAAATGTAAAACACAATACAAATAAACAAATTAATTTGACGTTTTGACATTTAAGACTTTCTTGTGACAAGGAGCTTTCAAAGCTATGTAGATATAGTCTATAAAATACAAATATAAAGAAATATTGCATTAATAACAGGTTCCTTTAAATTTGCCGCTGTGTGTATTAAATTGTTAACTTCTCATAGCCTACTTTGGGCTTGTTTTTAAACTAAGCAGAAAATGAGGATTTATTGATGAAAAACATGGCTAGTTGTTAACGTACCTAACTTTTTTATTATCAAACATAAGCAAATGAATCAAAAAAGAAAATGTTAAGAAAGCCTGAGGCTATAATTAAATTTTAATTTCAATATTTTATATATGCTAGAATATTCCACAGGGTGTTCCGAGCTTTAACGAAAAAACACATTAGGATTGTTACACCCGGTATACAATGACATTTACCTGTCTAGCAACAATATTATTACATCGATATTCTTAAATAATATACCTATAACATACTAAAAAAATCACTAAAATCGGACAACAGGTTTAGGAAATTCGAGACATCTAACATGTCCCAATTTTAAGGTGTTCCGTTAATTTTGCCGGTGAGTGTATATTATAGATATAAGTCATGTTTAAAGCGCGGATCCGCGCCGTTAGCACCGAGGAATGAACGGCCTGGATGCGGATCCGCGCCTTACGCAATGAACCTGATAATATACCTAGAAATTCATAAGCAGGCATGTAGCCAAAGGGTGGTCAATGGGGTAAGTTGACTCGACTTTCACAATATTTTACCTCTTTTTCCTCTATTGGCTGGACCAGTTTGTTCGACTTCTTTATCTTCAGTACTTTCTTTAATAGTGTTTCCTTCAGACGGCATCGGAGATGATACCGCAATTATACGACAAGATCTTCTTAATGGGGACCGCGGAGCTGTTGATTCTTCTGCTTGTATTATTTCAGTGGGGCGTGGCATCTTTTCTAAAAATTGACATATTTGTTAGTTTCCTATATACAACGTAACAAGGTTAAGAATACATAAAAAAAAACATTATATCGGCAACAGCAGTTCGTCAACTCTTTAGTAAAAGAACAGATTAATTCCCATCGAAATCACATAGTTGGTTTTTTAACTGTTAACCTAGTTTATGCTTATACACAAAAATAATGCCGCTAATGTACAAGAGTTGCTGTTTTTTTGACTTTTCCTTGTGATATATTTTAATATTACATATAACTGTAGTACAAAAGAATATAGACGCATATATAAGAATATTTCACTGTCATTTTTTAGCGTCGGCAAAGGTTATACACAAAACAATCAGAAGTTGATCATGATTTTAGTTTATTTGTATCACTAGGGAGCTGTCATGTCAGCGCTATTACTGCTTCTAAAATAAGAAAGATTTATAACATCTTATAAGATTTTATAACATCTTTTGAAAGAAAATAAAATATTATTTTAACTTTTAATAAATGAATCGTTTTAGAAAAAATACTATGATTCAAATTTTTAATTTAGGTATGTACAAATCTACAAATAAAATTAATTAACAGACAATCAATGGGAGAGAAAGCTCAAAAAACTGTAAGGCGTTTCGATCAAAAACAATTCCTGATCTTGTTAGTAAAAAAAAAACAACAAAAAATAACAAAACAAAAATTATAGTCTAAGACTTTATTTTTTATTTGGCAAATAATCCATTTCTAAAGCGATATTTCTCTTGCATATATACTATATTATATATTTAATTACTGATAAGTTTCTTTAATATTTCTGCACATATTTAATCAGTTGAATTTATGATTATATTGAACAATAACACTTTACATAGAAAGTCCTTCTTTCCTTTATAAAGGTCGATTCAGACACATCAGTCCCGTCACAGTCTCGGCGCCGAACCGGTCCTGTTTGGTCACAGAACTATCAACTATCTGACAGCTGGCAAACTGTTCGTCAACTGATGAATGTGAATGCCGGCGCCATATTTCTATTAAAGAATATTTTGTATGACGGATTGTTCGGTTCGGCGCCAGGACTGTGACGAGACGTGACTGATGTGTCTGAATCGACCTTTATCCTTACACTAAGAGTTCAAAAGTACATATCGTTACGCAAAAAAGTATTATTTGTTTAACACGTTCACTGCCGACTATATTTTCTAAATCAATGCCTCCGTGAGCCAACCATTCCTTTTTTTAAGTGCGCCTATGAGCCACCATATAACAAATGTGTTGGTCCCATCGGGACAACGCGGCCCAGTGAACCGTACTAATGCTTCTGTGCGCCGTTGGTCCATCGCAGTAAACATAACCTAACATAAATAAACGAATGCGCGTTGTGTATTGCTCTTGTTGATTGTTTTTCATTTCAATAAATTGAAAGAATAAATTGCTGTAAGTATTAAATAATGTTTAAAATACAATATTTTTACAACATATTGTGTAATTTTAGATGTCTAAACGTTCTAAACCTCTGACAGAGCGTGAATTGAAAAAGATTGCAATAAATTTTGGAGAACTTTCCGATGACGATGATGAACCATTCGAAGCTTCTGATAGTGAGTACCTGTGTAGTTCAGAAGAAGAATCAGATTCGTCAGATTCAGAAGAAACGGTGGAAAATGTACGAAAGTTTTTACAGAGAAAAAAAATAAAATTAGATTCACAACCTACTCGTCATGTTCACGATAATATCAATCCAGGACCGAACTTAAATTCAATACTCGATCCAGAACCGAACTTAGATCCACAACGTAGTGAAGATCCAGTACCGAATATAGAACCAAATTGGGGTCCAGTAGTAGGTAATTATAAGCTAATAGCACCTTTTTCTATTCCGTCAGGAGTAAATGATGAAGTAGCTGCAATGTTGGCAAATGGTACGCCTGGAGACTTTTTTGATGCTGTGGTCGATGACAGAGTAATTAGTCTGATTTGTAACCAAACAAATATATATGCAACTCAGTCTGTACTGGCTGCAGACGCAACACCAAGCTCTCGCTTACATGACTGGATTCCAACGACAAATATTAAAATTAGAAAATTTTTAGGACTGGTTGCCTGGATGGGTTTAGTGAAAATGCGAATGCCGAACCTGTTCCATAATAATTTTGCAAAGAATGTAATGTCTAGAAAGCGATTAGAGATGCTGTTAAGGATGTTTCACTTAATTGACAATTTATTAAGTCAAAAAGACACAAATATGGTGTAAAAATTTTTAAGTATGTTCTGGATCTGGATATACTTACAATTTCAAAGTATATGCAGGGAAAGAAAATAGTTCTAACGTCACTTCAGAAAGCGTTGTACTGTATCTTATAGAGGATTTAGTACATCAAGGAAGAAGGCTGATAACCGACAATTGGTATAAAAGTTTACCGCTAGCAAAGAAAATGTTGTCTGTCGATACACACCTGATAGGAACTGTTCGAAAAAATCGAAAATATTTACCCAAGAAGTAGTAGCTGCAAAATTAAATAAAGGGCAGATTGCTTCTATGGAAAATGATGATGGAGTGACCATTACGAACTGGAAAGACAAAAGAAATATTTACATGCTTTCTACTAAACACGGCAATGAAATGGTCGAAGTATCTTGTAATCGACAAACTAAACTGAAACCCAGGTGGTAATAGATTACAATAAAGGCAAAGCGGCAGTAGACTTATCTGACCAAATGGGAGTGTATTCCAACCCCCTTAGGAAAAGTGTAAAGTGGTTTAAAAAAGTGTGGTTTGAATTATTATTAACTAAATTATCTTAACTAATCAGTTATAAATTCTTTTTTAATATATAAGCTTGTAACAAATAACAACATGTCAGTGATAGATTTTAAAAAACAAATATTGAAACATCTAGTTACATCTAATGAAACCACCACAGTACCACGAAGAGTATCAAATAATCACCATCAGCTTGAACAGAAGGCAGACGGAAGTAAACATCAAAGAAGGAAGATTTGCAAGAACTGTTACAAAAAAAAAATAGTGAGCAAAATAGCCGTCAGTATGCTATGAACAAAACCAAAAAGGTAGACACCTTTTGCAAAAGCTGTGACAAGGAACCTTTTCTGTGTATAGATGTTTTAATGAATTTCATAGAACTTAAATAACTTTTTTATTGGTTGTTTTACATTATTTGATTTTTCTGTTGTTGAAAAACATGTTTTTATCAATAAATGTTACCCCAAAGTTGTAAATAACGTTTTTGACTTATATGGGACCATATTTATCATATTCCATAAATCGCACAAATTCTGTATACAGCATATAGCTTGTAGGCCTCGTTGGTCCATTCCCATGGTTATTTAATACTAAATAAACACCAACGGCTCAATACATATCGAAATAAATGTTGGTCCCATAGGGCCAACATGGCCTGTTAATGCAAAACTTGCGTTGGTCCCATTGGACCAACGTGGCCTATTGAAGCAACACCAGAGATGGTCCCATCGGACCAACATGGCTTAATTATTACATTTCGTTAATTTATTTGAAAAATCATCTTTTTGGATCTTTAAAATATTGAAAAAGTTTTAATCCATCGTTTTATACTTTTTTAATCTACTTGACTAATTTTGAAAAAATATTAATTAATCAAATAGTACCTTTTACATACATAGGATGCCTACTTTTAGTGGAGGATCATATAATTGACAATGACATTTTGAAAGTCACAAACAATAATTATGAGGTGAAAAAAAAAATTGATTATAACTCTTTGCTGGTTTTGTTGCGTACAAATTCAAACATAAATATAGTTTAGGAAATCCTACAAAAACTTATGAGACATATATGGAACCAGATACAGATAGTCTTTAGAGGTTCTCTTTTGTACCCAAACGAAGAATTGTGGGAAGCTACACTTAAAATGGAATCATTGTTTTGTACAATCCATGCTCTTTCTTGTGTGAAAGGCACAGAAAACTTTAGCTCAGCTTGAGAATAGCATGATTCCATTTGAGGTACTCCTATGTCTCAGTAGGACAAGCACATATATAAAATTAAGAGAAATGAACAAACAGATTAGTTTCAGTAACTATTAAGGAAAACTTGACAAAAATATGTCAAAGTTTGTTAACTTTAAGAAATAAATTTTATTAATGTAGTATAAAATATTCAATAAATCTTTATTATGAATTGTCAGCCAGATTCATTATTGAAACATTGTAAATTAAGGTAATCTTGGAAAATGCAAGTCAAAGTTCGAAGATATTTAAATACACATTAATTTAAAACAATTTTTTCTAATTTTAAATGTTAATTAAGTGATTCAGAAAGTGTTTTCAATATTTAACTATTCTATATACTTTGTTCAAAATACATGATATTGGAAATATTCCAGAAATGAATCCGACATAATATTCCTACAAAAAATATATAATAAACCCCTTAAACCTCCTAACCTAGTCCCGATGAGCAAGTAATGTCTTAAGTTCACAGCTTTTTACATTAAATATATCCACATGAGTCAGTCTATTAAATACTTCATTACAAATTTTTAACATATTGTTTATTGGTGATATGTTTCTATAGTAATTTGTAAAGAATAGATCTAGGTTAGTTATCTTTAACCTACTCTTGGGTACTCTAAAGTAAATAAACTCAATTAAAACACAGTTTGTGTACTTAATACTCTTAACAATCAAGTATATGAACATAATAGCCTGACTGTTTCTTCTAGTGACCAGTGACTGCAACTGAAATTAGCCTATACTTTGTTTCAAGTTAAGAAAATAACATTACGCTTATGGAGATCAGTGTTGCCAAAACTCTCAGACACTCTCTTTTGCACGGATGTCCAAGATATTCCCTTTGCTTAATTTTTGAATTTTCATTTTCAATTAACATTTAACTGTAAAGTCAGAATAACTACTAAATAAAAGCCTTATTATCATTATGTAGTCAGAGAACGACATAAAATAGCTGACATACGCACATCGTATTATTTTAAGTTGCAATTAGTAATTAGATAT